GGGATTTGATTATTTATATTTATTGTGTATAATATATTTTATCGATTTCCTAATTCCACCTGTTGTATAAAATTCTTTTTATAATTTTAACTTTAAAAATTCTAAGCTCATTATTTATGATTATGGTATGACATGTGAGTAGATACATATTTTTTTTGGATATCTCTTATGTTTTTTATTTAATATAAAAAACTAGCGATAAGAAATATATAGTTTCTTTAATATAGTCTGTAAAAGTTTTACGAATATTTTTATAGTTTTAAATATGAATTTTAAATCCATAATATCTTTTGATTTTAATAATAATTAACTTTTGACAAACTACCATTTCTATACAGAAATGTTTTTAAATTCTAAATTATCTAGCTTTTCAATAAATATATCTTGCCATTTTTTCCTAATTCATTTTTTTTAATTAATGTTAGAATATTTCAGGTTTAAAAAAGTAATTACCATTTGCATTAAAGTTATATATATGTGTATATATGTATATATATATATATATATATATATATATATATATATATATATATATATATATATATATATATATGTGTGTATATATATATATATATATATATATATATATATATAAGGATCACTCAGACGAGTGGTGGGTTCTTATATCGGTCTCTAGGTGGAGAAATAAAAGACAAAGTTGATAGGCTACTTTATCTATTTTGAAGACGTTTCGCTTTCGAGTTTTGAAAGCATCATCAGTTCATCTAAAAAATTATTACAATATGAGAACCACACAATCATGGAAACGATGTTAATTGTTACCTTAAAAAGATATGTAGCAGTCAATGTTATTAACAAATATGTGAATGAAACTAAGTAAATGGACATAGTACGCTGATCTTGTATAAACAGTTAAGCAACTAACAACATATATGAACTTGTACAAAAATTCGCACAGCAATTGACCATGTGGTCCAAAATAAATTCAATGTTATTTATATTAATAAGTGAGAAAGAACCAAGAAAATCATAAATAACCTCCAACTATTTAATGGATATTAAACTTTGATTTTAACTTTAGGTAGCATTATAAGTAATATTAATAAAATTCTACAAAATAGTGAATATGAAGTTACCGATCAAAGCCTTGTGGATGTCGGTAACTTCATATTTGATCGGTAACTTCATATTCACTATTTTGTAGAATTTTATTAATATTACTTATAATGCTACCTAAAGTTAAAATCAAAGTTTAATATCCATTAAATAGTTGGAGGTTATTTATGATTTTCTTGGTTCTTTCTCACTTATTAATATAAATAACATTGAATTTATTTTGGACCACATGGTCAATTGCTGTGCGAATTTTTGTACAAGTTCATATATGTTGTTAGTTGCTTAACTGTTTATACAAGATCAGCGTACTATGTCCATTTACTTAGTTTCATTCACATATTTGTTAATAACATTGACTGCTACATATCTTTTTAAGGTAACAATTAACATCGTTTCCATGATTGTGTGGTTCTCATATTGTAATAATTTTTTAGATGAACTGATGATGCTTTCAAAACTCGAAAGCGAAACGTCTTCAAAATAGATAAAGTAGCCTATCAACTTTGTCTTTTATTTCTCCACCTAGAGACCGATATAAGAACCCACCACTCGTCTGAGTGATCCTTATATATATATTGGATTGACGGTCGTACTCCTTTTTCCGATATATATATATATATATATATATATATATATATATATGTGTGTATATATATATCCTTACTTTTACTTATTTGCCTGTGATAAGCACATAAATAAGAATTGTTTCTCGACTTGCTTGGGTGAATAATGATAAAATTTTGTTAAATTTGATTGGTCACCTTATTCATCCCCCAAGCAAGGTCTCTCATTTTGGTTTCACCATTTTCTAAAGCAAGGTGTGTTTTTCTTCATTTTAGTCAACCTCCGGGATACATTTCTCAGGTGCATGCTTCAAATGTATCCCGGAGGTTGACTCCTTAATCAGGAGACGACACAACAATTGGTTATTCTATTCTTAGAGAAGTCATGAAGAAAATCCACATTTTTAGAAAATAGAAGTCTTTATATCGACTTTTGTATCGAATGGGAAGGAGAAATGTCACAGAGAATAAAGATGGGACCTCTCGTTCCAAAGTAACGGAAATAGAGATGAAAATAAAATTTACTCTTTAGAAACTTGAGTAAAAGATAAAAATGATGATTATTAAGAAAATAGGAAAGGTAGATACTAAAAATATATACATACATATATATAAATATATATATATATATATATATATATATATACACATATATATACATATATATAAAGAAGATAGATTTGGACGCCAACTTTTTTTTATACCAAATACCAGTAAAAATGAAAAGAGAATAATGAATCAATTAAGTAACGACATAATTCTGATACAATCTATATCCGAGAAAATATATAGAAAAATAAGAGATACAATGGAGGATATAGAAGAATATGAATTATGACAGAAGATACGGAAATTGGAGAATAGATTTAACGAAATATATTAACATAAGAAAGAAGACAGGCAATGTAGCAGTTATAACGCTACAATTGGAATATTTATTTTGAACTTTTTTGTTAGTAAAGTTTACATAATATACGAAATTTGTTTCGTCACTTGCTTGTCCAGTCATATTAGTCCAGGGTAATAAGGATTTTCTCGTGACACTCAATAATTCAGGTAGCTGACAACTTTTTTAGTTATTGTAGACCTATAAGAAGAAAACCTATTTTTTTATACCTGTTTCCTGTCTAAAGTTCGGAGGCTTTTTTTTATGATTAACAATTTAATGCAAAAACGCGATTTTTTCGATTTTTATACTCCATTAGAAAGCTAAATACTTAACATAAAATTACAAAATTTTATTTTTTAGAATATCGACAAAGCTTCAAAATGCCGATTTCTGTAAAGTGAAAAGACAATTTGTTGCTTTGAATGTTGTTGCAATAAAAAAATTTGGCCTAGGTGCGCTTGGGCCAAAGTTAGCCATGTTTTTTTGTTAATTCACAGCTAATTTGATTATAATAATTAATGAACTTCATTGACGCCATGTTAAAGAAGGGGATTTGTATTTTTTTGTTAAAAAATTTGCACAAACATTGTATTTTTACAGGAGCTTCTATGAATTTTCAAAAATGTAGTTCAAATGGTGACTATGAAGAACCTACAAATTCATGAAGTTTAAATACCGAAAAATTTCAAATTAATAAAATTTTCTATATCTCCGGATTTTTTCATTTTGATTTTGATCATTATTTTTTTAATTTATATGTAATTTCTACGTACATTACAAATATATAATTTGTTTATATATTAATTAATTAATAAATAGTCTAGTTTGTTTAAATAATTCGTGAAAAAATAATTTTCTTCTAAAAATCTATTTTTGGTATAATTGGTACTCATATTATTTATAAGACTATTTGATTAATTAAGACTAATATCTTTCAACAGGCTGCGTTCTTTCATTAGTATTGTATAATCTGTTTTTGATGATTTTCTGTGACAAAAATAATCTATGCAATTCGAATAGTTTCCAAATACAGGAAGATGGCTATTAGATGTATCATACGTTTACCACAAGTCCTAATTCACTTGATGCGTCCGCAAGCCTTGTAAAACACTACACCTATCTCTCATGGTTCTATTAAAAATAGGGACATTTATTCTAATATTTAATTTTCTGATTGCTTTTTCCAAGGCAACATTAAAGAGGAGACACGCCAGCGCCTCCCCCTTTCTTAGACCATCATTAACGTCAAAGCACGTATTATTTTTTGGATTGGTTTTAATAGTTGTTTGGTCAGATCTGGTCCTCCGTATTTAAGGAGTTCGTTCGGTATTCTGTCATCTCCTGATGATTTTCTATTTTTTTAATTCCTTAATGCTTCCTTTACCTCTTTCTCCTCAATATTTATTTCTTCGTTTGTCGTCACCTCTGGTGTTGGTGGTTCATTATCGTCACCTTTAGCAAATAGGGATCGGAAAGTTCATTCATTTCTTTTCTTTTGTCCTCTGATCATTCTCTATATTTCTTTTTGTGTTCCGTAGTAGTCGTGTTCCATCTGTTTTGAGAAGCTCTCCAAGTGTTCCCTTTATATGTGTCTAACTAAAGTATTAGTTTCATTTCTGATTCGTTTATAAACGACATCTTAAGAGTATTGTCTACATTGAAATTTTAATTTATTTGAAAGATTTATTTTGAAAAATAAAAGTAGGTAGACAACAACATTTTTTTTTAAATTATTTGTTTAGATAGTCAATTGCCGAATAACAAATATAACTATTATTAATAAAAACGATTTTATTTATAACTATTTATTTTCTAATTTTTTAATTGGTATTTTCAAGACTAGAGCAACAGGGATCTATGGATCTATCTCTTATCGTATCAATATCGTATCAATAGATATATCCGATACACCAGCGTATTCTGGTTTAAGTAGACGACTATTAGTAATCTTTGTACTGTTATGTTAGCCTTTTTGTTTTCTGGTCAGGGTTTGAACGATCGATCCACTAGATTAACTAGATCATTCACTGGCCTGCTTGAGTGTCTGGACCTCGATTTTTTTCTATATTTCAAATAAGCTCTTTGAGTATTTTGGAAGGATTAATAAATAGTTGAATAGATAATCCAAAAATGAAAATTAGTTTATAGCAGCAGTGAAAAGAATGGGGCTACATGCTAGTACCAGTTAAATTTAGTACATAAAGGTGACAAATAATAAGCAAGTAGCAAAACCCGAAGATCTAACGGTTAGAACATATACTTTCGAAGGAGCAAAAGAGGTCATATATCTAGGCTCAAAAATTATCCAAAGTACTACAGTAACTGCAGAAATTTAACAGACGTATATATCTAGCAAATGGCAGACTATGGATTAAAGAAATAATTTTTTTGTCTATTTATAAGATTTATTATTATAGTAATGAATTTTGGAATTTCAAAATTTTAATTACATTTTTTTATTTTTTTTTTAGGTTAGGATTGATGTCTCATTTTGGTGCATTGGCGGCGGCGAGCAGCAGGTACGCAGCTTTATGCGGAAATCCTACCGATCCCAGAACGCTTCCTTGGTACTGGGGCAGGATACCCTCTCAAGTCCCCAAAGAACAACCTAGTCCTACCGGTGAGTGTATCAGAATTAAATTCTATTTTTAAACCATAGGGAGTAAGAAGCAAGGAAGTTAAAATAGCATATTTCAGCAGTTACATCGTGTTTCCTGATGAATGTGGTTTGTTAAAAGAAAATTGTCTGGCTAATTGGTCTTTACCAAAGCCATCTAATTAATAAAAAGTGCTTTGTTGTTTATATCTTTCTTTAGTGGTTCAGCTTCCTTTCTTTGTAATTTTGGCTTCTGCAGATGCAAACTTTTTGAGTTTTATATATAAAAAACTTAAAATCCCCTTTTAATTCAATTTTTCTCCATAAAGTTTTTAGTCGCCATTTACACTTTTATTTAACTTTAGAGTTTTATTTTATATTCATAACATTTTTCGTTACGAGCAATTTTTTCACCAATTTTATTTGAAGATTACAGCGAGACTACTGCAGCTAATTTGAAATTTTTAGCTAAGTTCAAGAGATATGTTATAATACTCCAATGCACGACCGCTTTTAGAATTACTTGAGTACACGACGGTGGTCTGTCAGGACCAAAAGTTGTATATTTTTTTTTTCTAATTTTTTATTACATACAAATTAAAATTCTTTTTTTTTTTGTAATACCTATTGATGTATGTTTATACTATATGTCTTAAAAAAATGTTAATTCTGCTTTTTTTTGTAGAGATATACGACTTCAAATAAAAACACTAATTTTTGGTAATCGTTTTATTGCCAATTTACAAAACTATAGAAAAAATTAAATGAACAACAAAAATTATGTTTTTTTAAGGATATGTGAAACAATTTACTTATAAACTCAAAACTAAATATTAACCCCCTGCGCAGAAACTATAATAACTTAAAATACGTTAATTATTTAGGTATGATTTCCTGAACATTCTGCGCAAGTTGCTGTCATATGCTCCATGCAAAGCCAACATTTGCAAAATTTGGAAAAATAACGGGTTTTTCGTTTTTTGCAATACTTACAGTGACCTCTTTTATTTGGTGGTGGATCTAGTTGTTGTTGGATTGGCCAACCAGAATATTTACCTATTGCATTACGGATGTATGAATGTAACCCTGATGTTGTTGACCAACTATAATCCCAAAGCTTTTACAAATAATCTTCTATTTTTGCTAAAATCCATATCTGGATTATTTTGTCTAGTAATAATGAACGCATTAAGGCCAGCTACATTGAGAATTTCATAAAAAATAACTAATAGGCAGCGCTTAATATTTCTAGCAACATTATATGATGAAACCATTTTATCAGTCATATCTACACCACATTTTGTATGCTTTCATCGTTCCCAAAATAGTATAAACGCCTATCAATATTATTAATTTCGCGATAATCGTCGACACCATCTTCATTTTCTTCTTTCATCTCTTGCTCAGTATCATTATCGTGATCACTAATTTCTTTATCGCCAATATCACTAATCGAACTGTCAGAATCATGTATTTCGTCATTACTTGATAATAATTCTTCATATATCTGCATAAGACGCTGCTGCTTTCTTTCATATGGATTCATTGTAAATTATAAAACTCGACACAACTTCCTAATACACATCTGATACAAAACTAACAAATTATGATCACATCTGTGAGTTTCTCATAATTCTGTGATTCCCCGAAATGCTTAGTTTCACCGTTTAATACAAGATGGCCTCCAAATGTTATTATAATTTTAATAAACATATCAATGCTCGAGGGTGGTCTATTAGGACATTTTCAACATTATTGTTTTTACAGGTACACAAAAGGTTAAAATAATATAACATGTATATTTAGAGTTATGTCAATTTTTAAGAATGGTGTCTCCAAATAGACCACCGTCGTGCATCGGAGTGTAAATCGAAACCACGCTCCCTTATTATTTTTGCTACACAGATGTTTCTTAAAAAGAATCAGTCTCGAAACTTAATTGCTAAACCTCATATACATGTTTTTTAAATTGGCAAAGATAATATGTTCATTAGTATTCACACCGAACGATATTACAGTTCATATTTTGTACATAATACTCCTGGCAGAACCAAACCAGTTTTGTTGTATCAATTTATCTTATGTCATATTAAAAAAAGTTGAATTAAATTTGGATTCATTTATTTTACACATTGTGTCTATTTTCAACTCGTGAATAAGTAACTTCCCATTCTTACTCAAAAGAAACAACTTCCAGAATAAACCGTCGTCGATAATATGCAAGGCTTCCCAGCGACGCGCAATGCGGTGACATTAATTTCGTCGTCTTAAGTTTCCAGATTTTCCTTCAAATTATCGACTCGTGTTATTATGTCAACAATCTCAAGTGGCAACTTCCCGACCTGACAGATTTACCAGCATATTCGAAGATATTTAAAACGGCACCAAAATGGTTTCCCGAAGCCCTACTAAACGAAAAGTTTAAGTCTAATCGAGAAAAGCCCTTCAAAGCAGGGTCGGGCATGATTCGTTTTCAACGGGGTAAGGTAGAAAAACTTCATTAAATCATCTTCACTGTAAGAGAGTAGTATTGCGTCGTATGCATGACAGATTATTTTAAGTTGTTTTTCTCCCATTTTGTATCCTTTTTTAGTTCTTTCTTTTTTATTATTTCACCCATAATCAGGTTGAACAAGGGAGGACTCAGGGAATATCCCTGTCTTATCTTCAATAGGGTCGGTTAGTTCTTCTTCTACTTTTACTTTATTGTGTTGTTTTGATAGATATTTTCGAACGTTTTGATTATTCCTAGGAGTATCTTTCTTGCGTACAGTAAGTGGATAACGTCTTTTAAGTGGATAACGACCCGGTCAAAATGCCTTTGTAAGGTCCACGAAACATAGATATGTCGGTTTGTTGTATTCTTATGATTTCTCTTGCACTTGCCCTTGAACTCTTCTAGTTATATGCCCAAAATATCTAATATAGAATAAAAAATTAATATTGAGTGAAATTAAAAATAACACTAATAATAAAAACTTAATAAAACAATATTTTGTACATAAAAGAAGCGAAAATTGCAACTATCAATTGTAAATAAATTACGAAATTAACTGGTCTTACTCAGTATTGTTGTTTTGTACAAAGAACATTGACTTACCCTCTGAAGATATTGATGTCGTAAGATCTATAGCCAGGGGAATGTCGCTGGCCCACGTCGGGCCAGGGAGGTACGAGAACTCGTTGTTTTTCTTTCACTGTCTTGGTCTGAAGTAAAAAGCGTTGAGATGGTCAGAGCTAAGGAACCCTCTAAGTGGTGGTCCAAGAGGGTGTACCAATAAATCATTTTATTGGTTTGCGACTTTGCGATAATTTTAGCTAATTGTGATGGTAACACGACACTTTACACTTGTGTATATATTTTTGACCCATACAAAAGAGAAGCCAAATTCTCTGTACTTCAAACATGATAAATGAGATAGCCAGTTTAAGTTTTAAGAAATAACAGGAAATAATATATTTTAAAAAGGTCTTTAGAATACAGCACTAAATTAGGTCACATTACAGAACCGTAACAGAAAAAATATTAACTGTAAAAATATGAAAAGAATTCGTACATACTTTCCCAAACACCAATTATATAAGATTTTTAAACAGTTTTTTGTTTTTGATGGAATATGATACGTACCGAATTTAAAAGTTGATAAAATAAAAGTTTTTCATGTCATATCATATCATGCCATATATAAATGGAGCGCATATTTTGAAAACGAATAAATAGCGATTTTTAAAATTGCATAACTGTGTCAAGTAAACTGAATAGCATGAATAATACAAATGTTTAGTACAATATGTCAAATTATATTGACGCATAAATTTTAGTATCCTAATATATTTCCCAACTCGTGATTTTTTTAAATTAAAAATGCTGTCATTAATAATGAGTGATAGCATTTTTTGGATAAAAATTATACAAATCACATATTTTAGACTTGTTCTGGGTGCTTAGGTACTCTGGGGTACCGAACTAGGCTTGTTTAAAGTTTTCAGGTTTTCCTAGATAAACGCCCCCTATCAATACGAAGACAGCACATGTTTTTAAATTATGCTGTCAGATTATCTTCCAACGCTAATAACATATACTACCCACTTCTTTACAAAACACACCCACCTACTTATAGCCTTAAAAAAATTAAAATATCCACCCTTTAAAGAACGTTTATCGAGATATGATTTTGACCTGGAGCAGCCGACACATTATTATCCTACACAACGAGCTATAACTCCCTGGACTACTAACACTCCCCCTATTAATATATTCTTCGCAACCTATCCAAAGAGTACCACAAATATTTCTGACTATAACCAGATTTTTACTATGCATCAAGAAATGAAATTAGACACGCTGCAGCCTTTATAGCCTTTATACTAGGGAATACAGAATATGCAATTCGGATCCTTCAATTCTACAGATGAAGTAATCACCGTTTTAAAAGCACTAGCTGTATGTAAGAGTCATGCAAGCTTAAACTTTTCTTCTTATTACTGACTCTTTATCTGTTTTTCAGAGCTTAAAGCAAATATATCCAGCACATGCTATCCTGCAACAAATACAACTTTCACTTTACCACTAATATAACAGACACGGAAGCTTTAAATTTCTTTAGGTACCGTCACACACAAGTATCGCAATAAATAAAAAAGTAGATAAATTTGCAAATAAACCTGCTACTGACGAGCAAATTGAAATGACAACAATTTAAGTCACTGAATTCTAGAAAACAATAGTACTAGTATGTTCGATAACGACAGAGGAATAAGAGTAATATCATCAATGGGAAGATTATATGGAAAGATACTGCGAGAAAAGATAGAGCAAGCAATAAAAGACAAAATCGGGGTGAATCAGGCAGGCTTCACCGCAAGAAAATCATGCATAGACAACATATACATACTGGAACACTGTTGGAAAAGAAAAAAGTAAAAAATAAAGATATCCATTTGGCATTTGTGGACCTGAGAAAGGCATATGACTCTGTACCAAGATCAGAGCTATGCGAGGCAATGTACAAATTAGAAATATA